TGCTGCTGGCCCTGGGCAGCGCGCGGGTCCTGGCACAGGAGGCGGAGGATGCGCTGGGCGAGCTGGCGCTGCCCTTTGCTGCCGAGGAGGAAAACCACACGGAGTGGCGGAGGCAGAGCCCCGCCGCCGCCTTCCACCGCTGCAACAAGGTGATGCTGCGGGGCGGGGATCCGCTGCTCCAGGTTGCCAACCCCTGGCGGGCTCTTTGCAAGAGGGGGCAGTCTGCTGGGCATGGCTCCCAGCGGGCGGCTGTGGCTTTGGGCAGCCCAGGGACCACTGAGCCCTGGGCCAGGGGACCCGGGTGCTAGCAGTGGACGGTGCATGGAGCACGAGGGTGGGTGGGTGAGCCTGGGCAGGCCCCTTAGGCTAGTGGAGATGACACTCGTGCTGCTTTCCTTTGCCGGTCTGTAGGAGACAGGCTAGGAAGTGGTTTTACGCTCTGGGCACCCCTCGGAAAATGCCAGCTCTGACCTTTCCCACCTTTTTTAACCCTGGAAAAATACCAGAGCAATTCTTCTGTTGCAGAGAGCTCAGAAAGACCCCGCTGAGGTAGAACAGGTTTAACACTGTGGACCCCTCGCCGACGTCTCTGCGGGTATCTTGTGTTATGCTTGCACGCCCAGCAGCGCTAACGTTGCCTTGGCACCCTGCGGCACCCTTGAGGGGATTTCGAGGCACCCCGGTTGAGGACCACTCACTGGTCTAGGTGAACGTGTAGGACGGGGTGGTGGATCCTGACTTGAAAGCCCCCCTGTGAGCTGCTGATGGCACTGAGACGCCTATGGGGGTTTTGGGCAGCCACAGCTGGAAGCTGAGATGGCTGCCTGCATGCATCTGCTGTGGTTGCTCTGGGTGTCCCCTCCCGAGTGTTTTGTGATGGCCCAGAGGGAGTCTGCAAGGCCCCAGTTAGGTGCCCGGGGTGTGATCCCACAGCCAGAGAGCTGCCGCGAAGCTGGGCATGGGAGGGTGCGCCGGTGGGGTGGGGTGGGGTGGGGTGGGGCACAGCCGGGCCCGGCCTGGCCGGTGACCCTGACTGGCTGCAGCTCTGATAGGGGAGTGCAGACTTTGACTTGTTCCCCACTCAAGCTATATTCCTGGAAGCAGGATTTGGGTCCTGGCTGCCCGGCCGTCCAGAACCTCAGTGCATGGTAGGAGGTGGCAAGAGTTTTTGGAAGGGGGGTGAGACTCCTTTCTCTGACAGCTCGGGAGGATTCGGCATCTGGCAGGTGGGTCTTGGAGCTGATGGTCATGAGGACTGTGGCAGGAGGGCTGCTGGCTTGCCCAGTGAAGGGGAGGTTTTTCTGCTTGGCCAGCCGGGACTAGGTGGGTCCCCCCCTACCCAAGCCCTCCTCCGCTCAAGCCTCCTTCCTGCGGCTGTCTTGACTCTTCCACTGTGCCTCCCCCAGCGGATCTACCGCTCCCAGTGCCTTCAGGGGGGACTTCCGTAGGTCTGTGCTCCCACATGGGTGTAGCAGGTGCAGGGCAGTCACACCGTTACCAGCTCCGGTGATTCAGCACTGGAAGGGTCTTGAAATCCTGGCTCCTGGAGCCATGTGATCGTGTGAGACTCCCTAGTGTTTTCCAAGTCAACTTCTAGCCCTCGTGCCTGTGATGGAGGGGGAGAGGAGGCAAATGTAAAAGAGACCCCCCACTCTCCGCAGGGAAAGCAAATGAAAAGCATTCCAAAGGCCGTTTTAAAAGCTTTTACAATGTTTAAGCTGGTTTCATGACTTCAGTGGCTTGAACTATGCTGTGCGAAGCCTTGAGTGGGCCAGTCAGCTCCTTTCCGATTATGTTCAGTTCGTGCCACAAAGCAAGCGCTCCTGAGCTGATTAAAGCAGCAGCTCCGGTCTACAGCTAGCTTCCAGTGGAGGGTTGCAGCTGCACGCCTACGTTATGGAAATGGGGGACTCCTCCCTAGTTTGCTCCTGCGGCCGTTGGCTGAGGGCAAGTGAGACTCGGGGGTGTGCGAACCCCAAGCCTCCGGGCTTGGGTCTGCTCATAGGATGCTTGCCGATGGATTTGGAAGTATCTGAAGCCCCAGGCTAAAAGTCTGGGGTGGAGGATACTTGCCGGTTGCAGTGCCACATATGGTGTTTGAATGATTGAGCCTTGCTCAGTCACAAGGATTCAGAACTGATCTGGCTAATTTGACCTGGAACATGAAACATTTTCCAAAATTAAAAAAAAAAAAGCAGCTGTCGTCCACAGCACTGCAGCCTGGATTAGAAAGGAAGCTTTGCTTTTACTTGCCTTTGCACACAACTACTTCCGCTTGTTTAAACCCAGGATGCCTGGAGAATGCCTGGGCACTACATCGTGGTACTGAAGGAGGAAACCCATAAGTCCCAGACAGAGAGAACCGTCCAGAGGCTGCAGGCCAGAGCAGCGAAGCATGGCTATCTCACCAAAATCCTGCACATCTTTCAGGAGCTCTTCCAGGGCTTTGTTGTTAAGATGAGCAGCGACATGCTGGATATGGTAAGGTGATGTTGCACATCCGGCTTTTCCACCTGTGGTGGTTTTGTTTCCTGCTGTTGCTGTTCAGGGCAGGCAGCATGGAGAAGAGGGCCTTTTTTCCAGCAGGTACAGGTTGAGGCAGGAAATCCTCAGGCTTCAAGGCAGGCAATTAGGAAGACAGTAACAGGACGCAGCCCGGAGAATCCCAGTCTGCTTCTGCAGAGACTGAACATGTCTGGAGTTGGGAGAGGAAGGATTAAAATAACAATCTCCCCATCCACTTGTTTGCAAGGTTTATCAACCCTCATGCTTCAGGGCACTAATTAATCCCTGCCAGATGGAGATTAGGCAGAAACTTTCCCTGTGGGTGGGTTATTTCATAACTGGCCACACAAGGGTTTTTGTATCTTCTGCCGAAGCATCTGGTCCTAGCCACCATCAGAAAGAGGCAATGACTTAGGGTGTGATCCCGGCAGCAAATCCTGCCTCCTTTGATTAATTTGCCGGCATTGGTTTTGTGTGCTGGGTTCCGATGCTTTGTGCAGCATCCTGCTGATGTCTGAAGCAAGGAGGAGAGGCTGGACCTGTAGAAGGAATAAAGAATTCAGATCAGGACTCCAAAGTGATGCAGATCTCCAGGGAAGGAGTGTGTTTTCTTTGATATCTTTCCACCCACCCACAAGGCTGGATGCAAACTTGTCGCTGCTGGTTGTATGTCTTAAGAGCACGTGGGAGTGACTTGCACTTAAGCTGATGCAATGCACTGCCACTTTCCAAAGGAAGAGCTTTGAGAAGAACATACTCTTGCCATGGGAGATACAGGATAGTTGCTGTTCAGCTTTGTGGTTTCCCTTGACTGGCCTGTTTTAGACTCACTGGGCCATGTGAAAGTCCTGTGTCTTTGTAGGATTGGGACAGGCATTTTATGGTTGCAGGCATAGACTTCGGCAGATACTCAGCCTGTTGGCCACTCTCCGTCTCCCCAAAGCCATATGCAGATGCACGGTCAGGGTTGTGTCCATAGCACAGTGTGTTGAGATCGAGTCCTGAGCTCTCCTGGGGAAACTTTCCCACTCCTCTATTGTCCACCGCATGAACTGAACCTCACGGTGCCTATCCCACGTTGAGGGGGGAACTGAGGCCCAGGCATTTGTCTTTTTAAGCGATGTAAACCACTACAATAGAGCTGGGAACAGAACACCAATCTCCCAGTACCCCTGGGCACATCTTCACATGCATTTGGTCTGGGATCAGTTTACTCTTGAGTAAACTAGTCGTGAGTAAATGCACCCGGGCAGGCGTCTACACACGTAGGGAAGTGGGAGCAGATTTGCAGATAATGGCAGCAAACTGCTCCCACTTCCTGGGGCCCCAGCTGGGACATTACCAGGGATCCGGGTTTTCCATTTCCCACAGAAGAATGGAGTAAAACACGGATTTCCACCTTAACTGGAGGAAAACGTGGATTTTGCAGTTTTAAAACGAGCTCCCTGCAGGCTGTCAGAGTTGCAGTCTGCAGGGGGCTGCGAGGGAGCGGGAGGAGGGTGGTCAGGCAGGGGATGCCATGGGCATGAATATGCACATGGCAGCCTGGAAAGCAGCTCCCTCAGGTACTGGGGGTGGATGGAGGGCCCCATAGGGAGGGAGGGAGTTGGGCAGGGCGGGGGCTGCGAGTTCTGCACTGCCCTGGCGACATGTCCTTTGTGTGCGGGGCAGCAGCGGGGATGGCGGCGCGGGGGTGTGCCCCATGCTGCTGCCATGCGCGCAGGGGATGCATCATCAGGGCAGTGTGGAGCTTGCAGCAGCAAGCAGCTTTCCTACACGGCTCTGCTCTGCCGTGCAGCGCCTGGCTGTGGAGGCCCTGGGGGAAGGCAGCAGGGTGGGAGCGGGAGCCTGCAGCAGGCAGCATGCACCTGCCCCACACACAGATCTGGGGGGCGTGGGTTCCCCCTGCTCCCCGGGAGTGCACGCAGTGGTGGGGAGCCGGCGTGAGCACGGAGCTGGCTGGGGAACAGGCTGGGGAGCTTGTTCCCCGCTCCGCTTGGCAAGCATGGAGCTGGGTGCTGAACAGGCTGGGGAACAAAGTGGGGAGCTTTTTTCCCAATCAGCCCCATGAGCGCGGAGCTGGGTGGGGAACAGGATGGGGAACAAGTTCCCCAGCCTCCACCAGCAGGGAGCTGCCAGCACCAGCTCTGCACCGGGGGCCGGCACTGGGCATCCCTTATCTCCCAGCCTGAGCTCTGCGGTCACAGGGCTTGGACTGGGAGACCCTTCTCTCCTAGTGGCACTCTGTGGCTGTGGGGCCAGTGCTGGGAGATCCTGGCTCTGGGAAATAAGGCGCTCTCAGCCCCCTACTCCCCAGTCGTGATGGCAGAATGGGGGGCTTGGGGCTCCTTGCTGCCAAGGCAGGGGGACATAGTCCCCTCCCTGGCTCCAGTGGCGGAGGGTGCCCTGGCAGCTGGCAGGGAGCAGTCTTCCACCCACTAGTGGACAACTGACCGGGAGCAGATTTGCTCCCGATGTCTATATGAGTGCTACGGCTCCATTACTAATCAAACATAAATTTGCTACTTGCATTTTCAGGTAGCAAACTTACTTGCGATTAGCGAGGCTTGCCGCGTAGTAAGCATATGCACATGTAGACACACAGGCTTACTTTGCAGTCAGCTGTGCTACTGTGCAGTTAAGTGTCTCGTGTAGACATGCCCCCTGTGTCTTAACCACAAGTCCGTCCTCCAAGGGACCCTCTTGCCCTTCAAGAGCAGGTGGCACTGATGAGCCCTGCATGGAGATGCATCCAGCACTGCTTATAGGAAGGGAATCCTGGTTGGTACCTGTTTACTATTCCTGGTCGTCATCCTGGTTGGTACCTGTTCTAGGGATGGCTAGAAGAGGGGGGAGCGGGGGAAAGTACAGGATCAATCCCTGGCTTATCCATGTCCACCACAAAGCAGCAGAAGACCCTGATCCCTTCTCACGGATGTTTAAACTGTAGGTGCACATGTGCTTGGAGCTCCTCAGTGGCTGTGGGAAGTATGTCCTGGTGTTGGGGAGGATCAACCAGTCAGGAATGGGCAGACTGTTAGGAGCACTGCCAAGCTTTTCCTGGATTATCATTAGGGATATAAAGTAAATAAAAAGGTCTGAGCGAGAGACCACAGGCAGCTTTGTGGCCACTGTGTGGTCCAGGATCAGGTTTTTGCCCCTCTTGCAAGGTTTCCGTGGCTCAGATATAGGATGGATTAAAACAGCCCTGGGATTTGTGGTTAACCAGCATCTCCTCTTGGACTGAGCGCCTCCAGGGATCAGGCTGTGGTCTTCCCTGGCACAGCTCCTGTGACAGCCATGGACCCACACCAGCTCACACCTATGGAGAACTGGGTCCCTACCAGGCAGCTGTGTCTGGGACTGATTTCACGTTTCACCCCTCCTTGGGCATAACATCTCATCATTTGGGGCCTCCTTCTCACTGAGCACTCCCAGTTGCATTCATTTTCTCTGGCACAGGATTAGGCCCTAAGGCGCACATCCTGAAAGGCTTTTTAGTAATTCTTGCAGTGGCCAGACACTGACAGCCCTCGTCCCCCTGCGTTAACCTGTGGCAGGTTAGACGCTCTGCCTTGTGGTTGTGTGACCATGTCGATAGGGTTAGACAAGAACTTGTGTGGGATGGTCTGCACAGAGATGATCCTGCCTCCAGCATGGGGTCAGACTAGATGTGATCTCTGGAGGTCACTTCCAGCCCTACTTTTCTGTGATTTCAAGTGCTCAACTCCCACCGATCAAAGAGCAGTGGCATCAATGTGCATTAGGCACCTAGCTACCTTTGAGCATCTGGGAATAAATCACCTCTCTGGCAGGCGTGGGCTCTGCTTACCCATAGGGTACACAAAGCGACTGCCATTCTCCCCCCGCCTGGCTCAGACAATACGCGTGTCTCTCCGTGACGCTTCTTTTGTGCAGGCGCTGAGACTGCCGCACATCGATTACATTGAGGAGGACTCCTACGTCTTTGCTCAGAGCGTCCCCTGGAACCTGGACAGGATCATCCTGGCACAGCACAAGGCTGATGAATACGACCCTCCCAGTAAGGGCTGCTTACATCCCCAGTGTGACTTGGCTATAAAGGGGCGTTATATTCATGGGGTGCCCACTGATTTCCGGGGCAGGGTTGAGTCATCCAAGCGCTCCTGGGGAAGATAGAAAACCTGCCCAGAGGTCGAAGTGCAGAAGGAGGGAGGGAGACTACGGCCCCCACCCTGCCCTGGAGGGACTCGCTCTTCCACCTGAGTTTTGCAGGTTTGGCAGGTCTTGAGGGAACGTAGCTGGCCAGGGACAGGCTGGGCAGCTCTCCGTGGCAGCCTCCCTGCTCCTAGGATTAAATTGGCCCTGGGCAGGTCTGGTTGGCATGGTCTGGAGTGCAGCTCACGGTCCACCGTGTTTTCTCCAGCAGCTCAGAGGTTTCTTCCTTGCTGCACTGGGAAGGGGGAGCTAAGGAAAGAAGAAGTCACAGGCCTGCTTCTCCAAGACCCCTTGCTTAAAGAACTCCTTTGGGAATCACTGGAAACTCAGTGCATAGGGAGTTGGCAGCTTCAGGCCCTGTCTAGACACCAGATGAGTTGAGTGTGCAGCACTGTTTTGTCTGAAAAACTTGAATTTGCCTGAAAGAAATAGTAAATGTTTTTATCGATTTAAATTTAAGCACTTAAGAATTTAGATGAAAAAAAAAAGGGGTCAGTGTCCCAAAAGACTGATTTCAGGCAGGTGGATCTGGCTGTCAACGTTGGTGTAGAAGAGAGCAGTGCCTGGAGTATCTGTGACAGCGCTGGGCTGATGCGAGCTCTCCAGGCTGTGGTCCTGCTCCCCGGGCACTGGCAGCACCGTGTTACGTGTCTCTGGCAGATAAAGGAGAGCTGGTCGAGGTTTACCTGCTGGATACCGGTATCCAGAGCAATCATCGGGAGATCGAGGGCAGAGCATTTGTGACCAACTTCGAGAACGTCCCGGAGGAGGATGGCGCACGCTTTCACAGGCAGGTGAGTGAGACGGCAGCCTGTGCCTGGAGCGTCGAGTCCGGACGGCTGCTCGAAAATGCTCCGTCCAACCTGTTTTTGAGTGGATTTTGGTGTGTTTGACCGGGCAGCATTTTTCACAAGGAAGATCTGCATTGTGGGGAAGAGCTGCAGCTCAGTTGCTTCATGCCTTTGTCCTCTTCCGAGGGCCACGTTCTCACACTGGCCTGCATCCCCTCCCCACCACCATCATAAGACACCAGCTGCCCCGTCCAAGATGGTGCATCATGAGAGATGTAGTCTAAACAGGGAGCCTAGCCTGGTGCGGAGAAAGAGAGAGGGGAGCACCTGCACTAGAGTTTCCATGAAGCGTTGCGGCAGGATTTCCCTATTAAAGCCTTTGGGCTTTCAGGCATATTTTGAATTATGGCTGAATACCTGTTTTCGGCAGTGGGCAGGGGTGACCCATTTTCTGCCGGGCCCTAGTCATAGTACCAGGGAGGCTCATGCCGTGACTCTCTATGTCAGTGTTTCTCAACCTTTTAAGTAGCAAGTACCCCCTCACTTCTGAAAATTTTGATAAATACCCCAACATGCAATTTTCCAGGGGATTTTATATTTACAGACTAATGTGTGCCATACGTTGGGAGAACGGCTGTGTATATAAGGCCGTGATATGACAGATGTCTGATCTGGTGTGGGCAGGGGTGCCACCTTTTGCACCAGGGGTGCACAACTCAAGTATGTACCTGGGCTAGAGGTGATGTTGGCCAAAGCTAGGAGGGCTGAACACCAAATTATTACTAGGGAGTTTAATTTTTTTAATTGCACCAAAGTTTTTTCCATAGTTTTAAGAGGAAAAGAGGACGAGAGTGTTGGGGTACCCGCGTACTCCCTGCCCCCAGGGGTACACGTACCACAGGTTGAGAAGCTATGCTCTACGTCTCTGTCTGCACCAGGTCATCCTGCTGCGTTCAGTCCAGGCCCCCGCACGGCTCAGCTCTCCAAGCCTCACCTCCAAGTAGCGCTGGCATGGGGAGAACCTGTCACATTCAACGCCTTTGACAGAGCTTGTACAACCCACCTTGATTTACCCTCACACCGGGGCCGTTCAGTTCACTCGGAGCCTGCTGCAGCCCTTGACAAGCTGGGGAGCTGTCCATTGTAACCCTCATTGAGAAGTCGTGTGTGGAAGCAGCTTCTTGGCCTTTGTGATATGCCCCGAAAACTTCTGGAGCATGCTGCATTGGGCTGCTGGATCACTTGAGTGTTACCATTGACCTCTGCCACTGACTTGCTATATAGTCTTGGGCAAGTCCTTTAACGTCACTGTGCCTCAGTTTGCATCTCTGTTACAGCGAAGTCACGCCTGCTTTACAAGGTGCCTCAAGGCATGCGATGAGTGAGGGAACTAGGGTTTGTCTAGAGATTTGATCCATCACTGCATTACTTCAGTATTATGGCACGAACCCAGTGGTGAATCAAACCAATCAGATGAACAACAGCTGTTCAGCTGCGCTTATCACCCTGGTGCTTGGGATCCTCCCCTTAGAGGGGATCCTTGGGTGGCCTTTTTGAAGGGACAGGATCCCTCGTAGGGAATAAAACAAACCTGCGGTGAGGAGAAGGGCCCGACCGCAGGAGTCCACTCACACCTTGCCCTGTTATCACCTCTCTTCGGTATGACTGCCCGGGGCCAGGCGTAGCACATCCTTGGGTAACCACGGTGGAGAAGACCTGCATCTCGGCTTCACCGGAGGTGGGGAGAGGGCCGCCCGGCTGGCTGGCTGTTCGGATAGCAGGGGTATCCAGAGTTTTAATCACTAAAGCAGACAAAGAGCTTTGGATGGGATAAAGCCTCATGCTTCATGGTTTAAGCCTCTAAGACGGATTAGGCTCAGGCCCTTGTGGGGCAGCAGCTTATCCTAGCTCTGCTTAGTGGGGTTTTCTTGCACTTCCCGAGAAGCAGCTGGCACCGGCCACTGTTGGAGGCCTGGGCCGTGCGGCTGCTCCAGCGGGCAGCTCATCTGTTAGGTAGCTGATGATTTCCCCCCCTGTGGCAGCTGAGTCAGCTTTAGGTCTTCACCGAATTCAGACCCCCCGAGTGGTATATCGCTGCTGCCCCACTGAAACATCGTAGCCGGGATGGGGCATGCTGGAATAAAAATAGCATTTGAATAAACGGAGCCTGAAAATAAGGCTGGATCCTGCCCATGGGGATGCCCCCAAGTAACTGGCTATTGCACTCAGGGGAAGCGTTGCACCAGGGGTGATACCTGTCGGTGAGGGTGTTGCAGGAATGGGCCCCGTGTGTGTCCGGGCACGTGATGGCTTGGGAAGGCCTCTGCTTCCCCGACTGACTTCCTCTCTCTCTGGCAGGCCAATAAGTGCGACAGCCACGGGACGCACATGGCCGGCGTGGTGAGCGGGAGGGACGCCGGCGTGGCCAAGGGGGCCAGTGTTCGCAGCCTGCGGGTGCTGAACTGCCAAGGCAAGGGCACAGTCAGCGGGACCCTCATAGGTGAGTGATGACCCTCACCCCGATTAGTGGGTTGCTGGGCCTGGTTGTGACCTCAGTCAGCACCCCCGAAATTGGTCCCTTTGCACTTAGATGCAATCTGCTCAGTGCCAGGAGCTGGGGCACTGCCTGCTCCCCAGACAGCACGGGTCTAACCCCAGCTCCTCACGGTGGTGAAGGCTCCCCATGCTGGCAGGGAGAAACTGGGTTGGGGATACATAGGGTGACCATATGGGGCAAAGCAAAATCCAGGACACTTCCCCCCGCCCCTTAAGTCAGCAGTGCTGCTGCAATCGGGGGGTGGGTGGCCTGGTGCAGCTCCGGTATTACTGTTCAGGCAGCTAAGGGAGTCAATGGCCTGTTAATGACCCGTTGTTCTTTACTTCTCAGATATTCACAATCATTTCCTCTTTTTAATGGTCATTCCATTAATTCAGCTAACCTACTTTAGGGCAGTTTTGCTGTCTGCTAGGACTTCCTGTTTCACAGCTCGTGCTGCTTGGCCTCCCTGCCCCGTGCCTCGTGTCTAGGATGCTAATTTTAATTTTCACCGGCCAGCTGGGACTGGCCTCCACAATTTGGGACTATCCCAGCCAAACTGGGTACAGTCACCTAGGTGGGGATACATAGATTCATAGATGTTAGGGCTGGAAGGGACCTCAGTAGATCATCGAGTCCAACTCCTTGCCCCAGGCAGGAAAGAG